TCACATTAACAGACTCACAGGGATACCGCAATTGAGTTTGGAGGAGCCGACCATTCGGCATAACGATTGGTTAAGAATCAGCATTAAATAATAATTAATTAAACTTTAATTAATTTCAAACATATTGGTGGAGATATTAAAATTACCTGAGCTAATAATTCCTACAGCTGTGACTCACCTGAGATTCCCAACATTGTGAAGAGTGAAACGAATGAGCCTTGCCATGGGAGTAAAGCCAGTGCCGGCAGCGAGCAGATACAGGTGAGTGATGTCATGCAGGGGGCGGAGACTGAAGGAGCCATTTGGACTGCTGATCGCCAGTGAGTCTCCTGGATGGGTCACAAAGCAAGAAAATATTTCTATAAATCATACACACAACAAAGATATTTGCTGAACCTAATGAAATCAGACATTTTGGTAAAACTCAGGAAAAAATATTTGGAAATCTTACATTACCACAATGTAAAATTCAAATGTAATGGTATAATTACAGTTCAGAAGTCATACGTGTACTTCATAATGCAGGGAAATTACACGTACAATATATTTCTAAAAGTATTGGGACACCTGCATTTATACACACAAACTTTAATGACATCCCATTCTTAATACATAGATTTTAATATGGAGTTGGCCTACCCTTTGCAGCTATAACAGCTTCAACTCTTCTGGGAAGACTGTCTACAAGATTTCAGAGTGTGTTTGTGGGAATTTTTGAGCATTCTTCCAGGAGAGCATTTGTGAGGTCAGGCACTGATGTTGGACAAGATGGCCTGGCTCACAGCCTCCGCTCTAATTCATCCCAAAGGTGTTCTATAGGGTTGAAGTTGGGGCTCTGTGCAGGCCAGTCAAGTTCCTCCACACCAGACTTGCTCATCCATGTCCTTATGGACCTTGCATTGTGCACCGGTGTGCAGTCATGTTTGAACAGGAAGGGGCCATCCCAAAACTATTCCCACAAAGTTGGGAGCATGAAATTGTCCAGAATGGCTTCGAATGTTACAGCATTAAGAGTTCCTTTCACTGGAATTAAGGGGCCAAGCCCAACCCATGAAAAACAACCCCATATCATAACCCCCCCACCAAACTTTACAGTTCTCCTAGCAACCGCCAAACCCAGACTCATCCATCGGATTTCCAGGCAGAGAACAGTGCATACAAATATTGTACAGTGAAAGTGCCATCAGAAGAAAAAAATTACTAAGCTTTGGACAGCTTCGAAAATCAGCAGCACAGATTTTCCACAGCTCAAATCAATCTACCCAACCAACCCCAATCTACCCCTCCTGCTGCCTGCAGAAGGTCTAATCCATCATCACGGATGCCAGCCACTCGATTCACACTNCAAATCAATCTACCCAACCAACCCCAATCTACCCCTCCTGCTGCCTGCAGAAGGTCTAATCCATCATCACGGATGCCAGCCACTCGATTCACACTCTCTTAACACTTCTGCCCTCTGCAAAGTACATCACAGTACTTCCAGTACATCACACCCGTGTCACCAGCTTCAGGGACAGCTTCTTTGCTAGCAAGCAATCAGGTCACTAAACATCTGGTGACATGTACCTGTCCACCTACTGAAATGTATTAACATACATAAGAACTGTCAATTCCTTAATGGGAACCAAAATTCATATTTATATATTTTAATATATCTGTGCACAGCTTGCAGTCCTTCTGATTATCTCTTGGTGAGAAAGAGGTACCAATACAAAATCTCAAATTTAAAAAGATGGTTTATTTAATGATTTAAAAGCTGAGATTTTTAAATTTTTGATTCACTAAGGAACTGAGTCTTTCATTCTAATAAAAATTCTGTGGTCCTATGTACAAAATAACATGAAGATTAACATAAAAGAATGCCCAATATCTGGGTTCTGACAATATGCAAAACAAGGCAAAGAAAGTGGAGAAAAATACTGATATGACAAAGTGCAAGGAGGACCAATGTAAGAGATCTGTGTCAGTAAAAGATTACTAATGTTCAAAATCTATACAGTGATCCCCCGCCTATCGCGGAAGATGCGTTCCAGACCTAGGTGATAATCCAGGCGATAGGTGAAAATCCACAATATAGAAAGACCACATAAATAAATATTTTTTTTATATAGTTTAAGCCTTAAAATAACCCTCACACATGCTTTAAACACATGTAAACTTATTAAAACAACACATTTATGTGGATGTTGGGCTAAGGATATGAGTAACATAATACTGTAATAATAAAATAATAATATGTAATGTGTGTGTGTATGTATATATATATATACATACCAAGATAGAACTTTTTGGCCTTAATTCTAAGCGGTATGTGACAATCAGGCACTGCTCATCACTTGTCCAATACAGTCCCCACAGTGAAGCATGGCGGTGGCAGCATCATGCTGTGGGGGTGTTTTTCA